GCCTCTCCTAGGCTAAGAAGAATCCAAGAGCCCAAAGCTAACACTTCTATATTCTCTAACATATATTATTTGACAGTATCTGTAAATTATAATAAGTTCAGGATGTCGAAAATTAAGTCAACCAAGGGCAATTTTTTATAAGATGTTGAAAGTCTACAACCTTAGAAATTCATTTTAACAGTGATCAAAAAAGAGTGGAAGTCAGCAAAAGGCAGATTTATCTCAGATTTTATCCCAGTGGAGTATTATTATAAAGGAACTAAGAGAATTCTATGAAGAAACTGGTTTTGGCTATAAGGCGTGACTAAAGAGTTGCATGGAAATTCCATCCCTGGCCCCACTGAGGAGTGTGAGTCAGCCTGGTGTAATATCTCATACTTTTGGTTTCCTTCACACTTACAGTCTCTTTAAGTATCTCTCAGCTCTTTATTTGTAAAATTAATATAACCTTATGGGGTATAAAGTTTAAACAGATTACATAAAATGCTTGGAACGATTCCTAATACATAGCAGAAGCTCAATAAATGTTAGTGGGCATTATTATTTATAGTATTTAATGTAATAATTTATTGCATATATTTTTAAACTCTTTACAAATTCAATTTATTTGAAATGCAAAAACAGTTCACCCATTTCTCCCATCCTCCCATTTTTAACATCATAAATTATTGCATATATTTTTCTGATTGTTCATTCAACGTTTGACTTTCCACTACTAGAATATAAGCTTCCTGATGGCAGAGACAATGAACCACTGTGGAATACATCACAACTGTTCCCTGCTCTCTAGCTCTCCTCTCCATCTGGGCAAAGGAGAAGATTGTGCTTCCTTGCTTTCCTGGAGTTGCACATGGCCACCGACTTGTTTTAACCAATGAAATGTGAGTGGAAGTGCCACTTCCGGGTAAGAGACCTAAAGGCTGCACGGAACTCTCCGCTTCTCTTTCCCTATCTCAGTGAGTGTGAAAGCAGATTTTGATATGGAGGTGCAACACTGAGGCCCTTGACACAGAGGATAGCTACTCTGGGAAATGACCTGGATTCACAGCAGATGTAGATGAGCAAAGAATAAATCATTATTGCTTATGTCTCTGAGACTTTGGGGTGGTTTATGACAGTAGCATAACCTAGCCTACCCTAACTATTACAACCTGTGACATTCCCACAGCCGAGCTTAAGGTCTGGCACCTACTAACTGATCAAATATGTTTTCACTAAATTAATAAATTGGAAGTTTTAATCATTAATAAAAATGAATGATGTCAGTCAAAGAAATCAATCATTTTCAACTCTATTTCTGTGTACAGTGAAAATCTCTGGAAATTTTAACTGATTTGGAAGTGGGGATCACCATCCTTTGGGTACCAAACCATCATCTTAGGTATCAAAATCAGAGTCACACATGCTTTGCACTCCAGAGGGGTTCCATTAAAGTTTTGCTGAATTTCAATTGAATATTTTTTTCTTTGCAGGGGTTTTGAAAACCCCTTATTTCTGTCATAGAGTTACTTACTTAAATGGCCCTTATTTAAAGGCACCATTGTCTTATATAACTTTTACATATAAACATACAAATTTTAGTTTATATATAAAATTCATCTGTGTGTGGCCCTTGCCCCCATGACAACCACAACCCAGATACAGAAATTCTTCATAATCATATAGATTACACTAGAAACTGGAAAAACCTCAAGGTCAATAGCACTCAGAAAACATGTTTAACAAATTGAATTTGCAGTTTCTCTGGCCAGGGAGGAGGGAAGGGGGATAGGCACTTGGTTGTGATATCTTTTACTTCTCATTCCAAATTCCAACAATGATCAACAAATGAACCAAAACCAAAAACAAATGCACAACCCCCCAAAAAACAAACAACAATAACAACAACAAAACAAACCATCAAAACTATGAGCCCAGTTTAATCTGGTTGCAGAAGCAAGACAAGCTGCCCAAGTGGTAAGGGTGGGGTCAGGCAGAGGAATGGATGTGGTCACAGGTACAGTGATAAGACCCAAACAAGTGACAAAATGAAACCTGAGGCTCTGGCACAGGAGAAAGAAGCCACAGGAAAAAGAAAGCTGTTCCCCAGGTCTACGAATGGTCCTGAGCTAATTCATTCTTTAGGAACTTTCATTAATTCCAGCCACTTTCCAGCTCTGGTGACTAGGGGACCAGCAGGCTCCTACTAACAGAGATATTGGAGGTGATCTGGCATCTGATCTGATAGAGGTGTGAGAAATAACAAGTCTAAGGTGGTGGGGAGGACTAAGTGCAAGGTCAGCTTTGATCTGTGTGAACATACAGAAACCTTGGGCTTTGGAGAGGGAGTATGGTACAGGGGATAACCCAGGGTGCCTGGGCAGGCATGCTATCTGTACCATTCGCTAGTTGCGTGGCCTTGGACAAGTACTTAAACCTCCCTGTGTTTCCATTTCCTCCCCTGAAAATGAAGATATAATAGGCCCACCTCAAAGGATTGTTGCGAGAACTTCGCTTGGTTAATACCTGTACGGCACCGTTGCCCAGCACACAACAATCACTCGGGAAGTGTTAGACTTTGTTTTTATCGCCCTGGTGCACAAACTGTTCAATTATGGGGTCCAGTCCTTACCAGCTATGTGACCTTGAGCACAGTACTTATCTTCTCTATGCCTCGGTCTTCTCGTCTGTAAAATGGAATAATATTAATTCCTATGTCACAAGATTGTTAGAAGGAGTCATGATACCACACCTCGGAGGTTGCCTGGCTCAGTTATCCCATGATCACTATTACCAGACATTAGTATTATTTCTTCTGGTAGAAGCTGAAAAGGATAAAAGACATCCTGGCTCAGGCACCAGGAAATGCAGCGGGGTTGAATGTGTGGGAGAGTTTAAAGTACACGCAGGAACATTTGAAGAAATGAAGGAAAAGTTTCTCATACTTGGCAAGGAATGTGTATTCTCTTTTGCAATAGTGGGGTCTTGGCTCTTCGAAGTGACGCCTAACATGGCATATGCGCACCTGTTGTAAACTCGCATAAGAAAAGTTGAGATAAATTCCTGGGGGCAGAGATCCGCTCACACTTCTTTGCATCCCCTCGGTTCCCAGCAGGGTGCTAGACGCCCGGACCTTTGCTGAACTCCGTCAAAACTCGAGTCTCGAGCCCTGACTGTCCAGCAGAGGCCGCCCTGGGCCGAGGCTCCCGGGACCCGAGCGCCGGGAGAGGGGAGGCCGGGGGGGCGGGGGGGTGGCCCAGTCAGCGCCGCGGGGCCCGGGTGGGAGGGGTTTGGCTGGGGGCCGGCGCGGCGGCAGAGGCGGCCCGGACTCGGGCGGTTGGGATGGAGTAGAAGCGCGCCGGGCGCCGGACGACACGCAGCTGACGGAGCCGCGCAGCGTTTGCCTCGCTTCTCCGCCCGCCGCCGGAGCAGCCCGAGCCGCGCGGGCCGAGCGCGCAGAGCCGCCCTCGCCTCCCGGCTCCTACGGCCGCCAGCCCGGCAGAGGAGGAGCCGTCCGCGCTCCGAGCGCTCGGTCAGTCCCGGAGCTCGGCACCGCACACCAGGGTACCATGGTCTGCAAGACTCTCTTCGCTCTCTGCATCTTCACGGCAGGTATTTGGGGCGCCGTCCTCCCGGATTGGCCGGGCGCGCTCTGGGCCCCGGTGGCCAGCGCCGGGGCTGGGGCTGGGGCTGAAGCCGGGGACACCGGGAAGTAAGTCACCACGCGCGGGTGGCCGGAGTGGGGGGAGCCTCCGGAGTTGCGTGAAGGTATGTGCACACTTGGATTTGGGGTGGTGTAAGCCTGTCGAGATCCTGAGCCGTGCGGGACCGAGGGTATGACAAGGTCCTTCCTGCCGCAGCCCGCGCCCACACAAACTCCGGGCTTTGTGGAACAGGTGGCTGCGCGACGCGTTCGAACCCCGGGTGAGCGAGACTGGCGTGCGACTCGAGGCTTCTCGGGTCTCCGAGCACACCCTGCCAGAGTCGGGCAGCAGACTTCTTGAGGCGGTTGGACCCCGGGAGGGCCGGGAGAGGCGGGGAGAATCGCAATCTGGAAGGCTCTAAGCAGTGGCTGCACGCGCGCCCGGGATTTGGCGGTCCCGGGTCTCGGGTGTCCGGCGTCCCTCCGTGGTTGCGCGCTGGGGATGATGCGTCACTAACAGCCCCACCGGCAGCTGCCAGAACCCGGCTCGAGCGCGATCACCGCCTGGGTTTGCAGTTCTACCGTGTGGCCCGGAGCCTCCCAAAAATGTGTGCAGTGGCAGAAACTGTCAAGTTGGCTAGAACTAGCCCCCGCCCCCGACACCAATTCTGGACGGCTTCCGCGCGCGCGCCTCGCTGGTCTCGCGACCAACGGCGGCGTCTCTGGCAGGGGCTGCGGAGAGAGGAGCAGGAGGGCTGAGCTCGGCTTCGTGGGGGCCGGGAGACAGACAACGCTTTCAGTCTGGTGTTGGGCACCCAGTTTTTCCAGAAAATGCAGCCCTACAAGGGACAACCGACTATGGATAAGGCACCAGTGGAACGAGCAGCCCGAGTGCGCGGACACTGGTATGTTTTCGATAAGAATGTTCCAAAGCCACATAGCCCAAGCCGATTTGACTCATGCTTCTAGTCCCTGATTTTTTTCCGCCTGAATTGCTTGGGTTCCTGTTCTTGTGGACACAGGTCGTTACAGTCCCTCGAAAAGAAGCTAGGGGTTTCCTGGCCGCTCACAAAGGGTAATGCAATTTTGAGGAAAAGTTTCCCAACTTAAGATTATAGCGTGTTTTGTTTCGTTTTTGTTTTCTTCCTTTACTTGCTGAAAGCCTGAGGAAAACCCCCTTTTCGTTTTGGTATCCGCACTATTTGCAGTCGCGTCCGCAGACGGTTCCCAAACACTCTGGCGGCTTTGGCTCCGCAGCCTCGGCAGGGCTCCGAGCGCCAGGATCCCAAGCAGGTGTAACAGCCTCATCCCAAACCGCGGGATTGCTATGTGAGGCATTTCCAGTAACCCTCCAAGCAAGAGATGTTTACCACACGACATGAAAGGTGCCTTTACTTTCCTCCTCACTAGAAATCTTTCCATGAAGCCCAAGGCTCAGAAAAACTTGAGTGAGCCTGTAGAACCAGTGGGTAGGTTTGTTGGCTAATTTCATCTTGTGGCTTGTCTTTTTAATTTTTATCAAGAGCTCTGGCAGCTGGCAATATCCGGATTAACCCTCCCAGGCAGTGTAGGTAGCATTTTTTTTCCCTAAGGAGCTCAACAGTTTTTTTTCTTGGTCAATTTTAGAGCTTAGTCCAGCTGTTCTGGGGGTGAGAATATTGCCCTTGTCCATCGCTGCAGTGAGGGGGCTGGTGGGCCCTCTGAGCAACCTCATCCACGCACACGTGGGGGGGTGGTCAGAACCAAGACGATCACAGCCTCCCAGTTCTGGGGCTCTCCAGACCCCAGAGGACATAGTTCATGTTTCTGTGTACGTCTTATGAACAGAGTGATGAAGCTTCAACCTTCCCTCTTTACGGATCCCTGTGTTGTTAGAGCTACTGCAATAAAATGTGACGAAAATAATATAAAAGTTGGCATAAATACCTCAAGAGACTCTTTGCATCCCCAAAGTAGGGTGTTTTCAGAAACCAAAATATCATTTTTCTAGGGGAAAAAAAATTGCTGTGTTGGTAAAGGAGAGAGGGGTGAGGGTTCCTGCAATGAAAGTGGCCTGCGTGTTTCTGTGGCCCATCCCCCAGCTCCCTTGGTAAAGCTCCGGTTGGTTTCACCCAGCAGTTGCTGCTCTTCTGCTCTCCTTCTCCTCTTCCTCCTCATCCTCGTCCACTCCCCCGCCCCCATCTACTCTTACTTCTTTTTTACTCGTCCCGTAAAACTCTGAAGGTGATACTTTCTTGAGCCAGGAATGGGGTTTGGCAGGGGACCTTTTTTTAGCTTAATAAATCCACTCAGTACATACATAGCATTTTCTCCTGCCTGTATAATGGATACTTGCAAATATGTGGTCATTGTCAACAGCCATGATCTCTACATTTATTCACTTGTATTTTAAAAAGAAGGAAGAGAGAAAGCTTGGACTGTCTTCAGTTCTTTCAGCGTTGATTGTGTTATGCACTATCATGGCTGGTTTACAGACCATTCTCAAACATCTCTGTGTACAAGGCGCATAGGAATACTGCCTCCAAATTAAATTACAAGGCAGCATCCCCAAGTTTTGGCTACAGAACTGATGAGGGAGGGAGGATGGCAGGCCGAAGGAAGCCTCCATCTTCATCCCTCTCCCTCTCCCCTCTGGATTCTCTTCTTTTTTCCCACCACCATCATTACCCCCCTCTGGTGTTCTGTGTCCCCATTTATTTAGAAACTCCCTCACTGAGACATCGGAGATATACTGGAACTCTCAAAAGGCCTTTTCCAACACTCAGGGAGGACAAAAGGGAAAGAAGCGTAGGTAAAAAGAGGCACAAACCCCATGATCCTACTTTCCTGCCCTGGATGCTGCCCTGTCTGTCCCTACTCCCCCCGCAGAGAGACCATCACATCCCACCCCATGACCTAGGCCCATGTCTTGACCGTTGGTGATCAAACCCAAGAGAGCTAGACTCCAGTCCACCACCCAGCTAGAGATACTGTCTGTGTTCTGGGCCTGTCAGATTGCTCTTCTCTGGGTGACTAACATCTAGAATGTTCTTATCATTGAAGGGAGACCCCACCCGACACATTTATGGCTCTCTTGTCACTACAGATCCAGGATATATGTCAATACTTTATCATCAGCATATTAAAGTCTTTTCATGAATCATATCATAAGCATATTAAAAATAAACCAAAATTGCACACACATTTATGAGAACAGCAAGGTTGCCTGTGGTTGGTTGGGAGTGGGGGTGAAGGGTTACTCCCATCCCTTTAGCCTGGTCACCTCCCATTCCTCTGAAGTCTGTATCACAGTCCAAGAAGTGACACCTCCTTCCCATGAAACCTGACCTAAGAAGGTGGAAGCTCTTCATTGTTATCTGACACATTTACTGAGGCAGTGTTGCAAAGTGGTAAGCCCGTAGATTCTGCAGCTAGATTGCCTAGGTACAAAGCTAAATTTTACTACTTACTAAGTGTGTAATTTAGGGCAAGTAACTTAACCGTTCTCAGTTTTCTCATCCACAAAATCGGGGAAATAAAACCTCATAAGTTTATTGAAAGTTTTAAATGACTAAATGTACTCACAGCACCTGGGACATAGGAAGCACTCAATAAGTGTTAGCCACTGTTGTTTCTATTAATCTTATTAATAACGTTTACTAGTGTTTGGTACCCATTAGGTCATCCTCTCAGAAGCAGAGCTTCTACATTTGTGCTTAGACTATGTAAATCAAAGATCTCAACTGATATTCCAGTACAGGGCCAGCTGTTTTGGCAAACCTTAATGTGCAAATTAAGAAAATATTCAGCTGAGCCTACTAAATGCCTAATTTGAAAAGATTAATAATGTGCCAGCTCAGATTTAGCACAACAGTCCAAAGGAATGCTCCGGAACTTCTGAATAGAAGTAAAGTCTCACGAAGGACTTTATTTCTTGCACAAAGTCTTTTGGAAACTGGTGTGTTTCAGAAGCCCAACTCAGCTAAACCTTTAGGTCAGGTTCCCAGAGCCACAAATTTTAGATGATTCCGATCAAAGAACTTAGGAAAAGGCAGCTCCTGGTACCTGAATGATCCAGAAGGGCTCTCTTGAAAGCCCAGAACCATCAGTAATGGCCAGATCTCTAATTTACCTTGAGCATTTGGGCCAGGTCTAATTGTGTGTGTGTTTTTATAAGGAAAATATTGGCCAAGTATTTACCCTGTTTGATCAGACTTTCTTAAGCAATAATTTTCCCTGTGGAGTGGGGAGGTGGGGAGGTGGAAACAATGGAGAGGGACATTTTAGAAATATTTTCAAAAGGGATTGGCTGTCTTAACGTCCAAATGAACAGAACCCTGCCGTAGCATTTATAATAATTTGCTTCCTTTGGGAAGTATCTGTCACTTAATCTGGACATGTTAGTTTAGAAATCAAATATTTGTTTTGCTAATAAGATACTGAAACAGTTGTTTGGGAAAAAAATGTTTTATTAGAAGACAGTGGCAATTCTAAAAAGAGGTAGGCAAGTAGTAAGTGTGTGCCTTAGGTAATGCTGGCTTTTTACTTAGAAATGCGGGGCTAATGGGTTATCGTCCAGTTAAGGTGACTATAAAATAAGACTGATTTGTGTGCGGCGTTACTTTGCTTTTAGTCACAGCTTAAATTATTTAAATGACAGAATTCATGTAACAGCAGATTTTCTGATGTGTGGATCTTTAAACATTCATCATCATCCTTATACCAGCATAGCCCATTTCTTTGACCTGTCTTTTACCTGTTTTAATGTCATTTATAAACCTTGAGACCTTTGCCACTTTTAATAGAAATCATTACAACAAAATAGACAAATAATTCTTTTCATCTGTGTTTTCCATTGGTGCAGGGCAGTATAATGTCAATTGAAAATAAGCTGTTTTAATTTTCCTTTGGCTAGTGTTGCCAGATTTAGCAAATAAAAATACAGATTGCCCAGGCCAGTTTGAATTTCAAATAAACAGTGAATTCTAAACATGTCTCACACAGTAGTTGGGACACACTTAAACTAAGTAATTCTTCATGGTTTATCTTGAATCCAAATTTAACTGGGCATCCCGTATTTTATCTAAAACCCCTACGTTTGGCCTTTCATCTGCGGTTCATCTGTACAATGGGTTTGATATAGGACTCGCTTTACCTTGAACCCCACCTCACCTAGCTTTAGTTGCCCCGCTCCATTTCAGTCTGTTCATGGGAAGAGAGGGAGATTTCAGAGCAGCTCTCTCTAGGATAGCAACTGCAAGGAATAGGGTTCAGAAGCAGCTCTCCAGTGAAACATTTTAAATCTGATTGCATTTCCTTTTTTTTTTTAAAGGTTTATTTATTTATTTTAGAGCATGCGTGCACTCTGGAGTTGGGGGGGAGGGGCAGAGGGAGAGGGAGAGAATCTTGAAGCAGACTCCCTGCTGAGTGCGCGGAGCCGGAGTCCGAGTCTGGGCTCAATCCCAGGACCCTGAGATCATGACCTGACCCAAAATCAAGAGTCAGACACTTAACCAACTGAGCCACCCAGGCACCCCTCTGATTGCATTTCCATTAACTGTGCATTGTTACGTGTTTCTGAACATCTGGGATTTCTGTAGGCTTCCTGAAGCTACATTACCTTAGCCTCTTGTGACTTTTCCTTTAAAAAAAAAGTATACGTATTTTAAATGGTAGCAATGTTCTTGCCTGGGAGCTGGAACTAGAATCCTTCTAGAATCCAGCTGGCAGCTAATTAAAAAAGAAAGTTATAGAATAGGTTTGGATTTCACTGCTCTTTTCGGTGCCCGGATCTTAATACATCTCACAAGTATTAATTATATAAGGTTTACATAATTCCTACAGGGTAGGTCTATTGGTACACTTGAAATCTGTAGGTATAAAGCCTGTAGCAGCATATTAGAATTTCAAGGCCAATGCAGGGGGGGGGGAAACCCTTAAGCAATTAGACTGTGGTAGAAATTTGCATCTTTTATACCTATGGAAGAATCTCTGAAATCTGTGAATAGGTAACTGTTAAGTGGGAAAAAAATTGTGGCAAGTTACCGGTGTGATATTTGGAAAACACATCTTTTTGATTCGAGAGAAGGTGAGTGGTAGGATACAACTTTGATGATAATATCTTCCACTCAGTCCAAATTCTGACGCCTGATTTTGTTTTCTATCAGGGAGGAGATAAGGACATAGGAACTTGAGTGCAGGTGTTGAACATGAAAAGAATTGGAGGAGAGAAAATTTTGTTTGATTTCGTGTGTGTGTTTTTGGCCGTGATTGAATGGGGTGATTAAAACATATTACCTTTTAAACGATGATTATTCTTGCCAGTTTTTTGTTGTCCAGAAGCATAACCTCATTACTGAAAGTTTGTTCACTTGCTATCACATTCTGTGATGGATTACTATGGGTGCTTCTGCTTCTTATGAAATCTTTTTAGTTTCTGTTAGAAAAGTTTTTGTGATCCTACAGATGGACAGCAGACAGATACCAATCTACTGGTGTTGAACATTTATTTGATAGCTATACACTCCACGGCATGTGATTCTTGCGTTGTACTGTAATTTGGATTCTTTAGGAAGAACGATAACAATTATCATAAGGATAAAAGGATGCTCTCTTTTTTCACTGTACAAAAGCTACAATGCCTTGTCTATATGTGTTTAGGGAAATATTTAAGACGCCGTCATTCTATTGAGTTACTGTAGTGTGTCAAGTTATGTCAAATTACGAGAGGATTTCAGTATGTCTCAGAATTACGATACAGGGGAATTTTGATGCCCATTTGTTCATCAGAGGGTCCTAAAGAAATCTGGTGGACTGAACACCTCTTTGTTG